TATATATATATTTCAAAATATAAAAGCCCGGTCATCTGTTTAGAGTTAGCCATGAATATTGGCCCAAGAATTATTGCTTCCATTCTAGCGCACGCGGCGATACCTGACATGCGCAGCGCATTCTGCGTTTTCATACGTAGGGGCACCGTGTTGTGTTCCTATTAGTATGCGCATGTTCGCGGGAGCCCTTTTTTAATATTTTTTATTTAATTTTATTTAACTTCAATTTGTAAACTTTTTTTTTTTGTACTTAACTTTATTGCTATCACATGGGGGGTCCACAAGCCCTCCTATGTGATAGCACATTGGAGGTGACAGGTTCTCTTTAAGGTGACTTTAGGGGTCAATTAGACCATTCCACTCTAAAGCTATTCAAGTGCACAAGGCACTTGAATAGCTTCAGCCGGAAAATGAAAGCTGCCCGCGGCAAGATTTCGCAGTCGGCAGATGAATGTAAACGCAGCAGTCAGTGGGAGGGTGCAATAGCCAGCCTGCTAATAGCTATTTCAAACTGCAATAGCCAATAGCAGGCTGGCTTTTGCACCCTCCACTGCCTGTTGTCAATCAGCAAAAGAGGGACCTGAAGGAGAAAGTTCTCGTCACCGTTGGGCACCGTCTGCAGGGGTCTGTGTCCCCTCCGATCCCCGCTGCTCCCAGGGGGGACATAGAGCCGATAAAACATGAAAAAGCTTGGAGGAGAGAACTAGTTGGATTCCTTAATGACTGGTAGAGTGCCAAGAGACTGGTGTAGGGCAACAGTGGTTCCAATATTTAAAAAAGGGTCCAGATGCCATCCAGGGAACTAGAGACCGGTTAGTCTTACATCGGTGGTTTGTAAAGTGTTAGAGGGAATGATTAAGGACCACCTAGTAGAATTTGTTCGGGATAATAACATAGTAAATGATAATCAGCATGGATTTAGGAAAGACATTTCCTGTCAGACTAACCTGCTAACTTTTTACGAGGGGGTAAGTAGAGATCTGGATGGAGGGAGGCCAGTGGATGTGGTATATTTGGATTTTGCTAAAGCATTTGACACGGTAACACATACACTTCTACTACACAAGCTGAGGTCTATGGGCATAGACGAAATAGTGTGTACATGGATAGAAAACTGGCTACAGGAACGGGTACAAAGAGTATCGATAAATGGCTCCTTCTTGGATTGGGCTAGGGTCATAAGTGGCGTGCCGCAGGGTTCTGTACTGGGCCCCATGCTTTTTAATCTATTCATTAACGATATTGGTGAAGGGGTAAACAGCCAGGTTTCGGTGTTTGCTGACGACACCAAAATCAGGAGGGCAATAGACACTGAATCAGACATTATAACATTACAGGGGGATCTAGATAAAATAAGGGAGTGGGCAACTACATGGCAGATGAGGTTTAATGTAGATAAATATAAAGTTGTGCACTTTGGGGTTAAAAATAAGAATGTGAATTACACACTAATGGGAGCTCCGCTGGGGAAGCCGAAAGGGAAATAGATTTGGGGGTCATTGTAGACCACAGACTAAATAATAGCTTGCAGTGTCAGGCTGCGGTAAACAAAGCGAGTAGAGTCCTGTCCTGTATTAAGAGGGGAATGTTATGCAGGGACAAGTCCGTAATTGTGCCACTTTATAGATCACTGGTTCGGCCTCATCTGAAGTATGCGGTCCAGTTTTGGGCACCAGTGAACAGAAAGGATGTCCTTGTAACTGGAAAGAGTCCAGAGGAGGGCGACCGAACTCATAAAGGGGATGGAGGACCTGAGCTATGAGAACAGGCTACTAAATGTAAACATGTTCTCCTTGGAAGTAAGGAGATTAGGGGGGGACATGATTTTCATGTACAAAATGTTCACTGGGGAAGGCGACATTAGCAGCAAACTTTTTACAATGAACTCCATGACAAGGATGAGACGCCACCACCTAAAATTGGTTGAGAAAAAATGTTAGCACAGGGGGCGAAGGGGTTTCTTCTCAGTTAGATCAGCCAGGGTCCGGAACTCTCTGCCACATGCTGTGATTTCGGCTGAGAGTGTGGAATCATTCAAGAGGCGATTGGACGATTTCCTCAGAGACCGTATTATACAAGGGTACAGGTACCCTTAAAAAATGAGAACACACAGGAACCCATACGTACACATACATCAGTAGGACCATACATATACACACAATAGGTTGGACTCGATGGACACGTGTCTTTATTCAACCTCAAATACTATGTCACTATGTCAATAGGTATGTGCATGAAACGCGGGAAATAATGTCCCGTAAATGTGCGTAACCGTGACGTGCTTTCCCGCTATGCCCTGGTGTGAACGCGGCCTAACTACAGAACTACTCCACAAATCTCTTTTCCTACTGATATACTTGGGTCACTGCTTTGCCCGTTCACACCAGTGACGAGTAGCCCGACGCAATGACAAGGCAATTGGCCTTGTTTACAATCAGCTCAGCTGAAACCTTCATGTTGAGGTGGTGTGTTCTGGAAAAATAAAGGACTACATTGAAGCAGATAGAACTAAATGAAATTTCAACAAAAAGTTCCACCTTTTAAAAAAAAATGCTGCAGTGTGATGCACCGCAGCCCAGAGAGAGCACCCCTAGTCTGCTCTGAGCTACACGGCACAATTCACACATCCTCTGAATATCCTTTTTGGTGAGGTGTTTGTTGGACTTGATGGACTAATGTCTTTATTCAACCTCAAATACTATGTAACTTTGTAACTATGAATATGTAAAAAAAAATGTATTTTTGCTTGCACATAAATGGATGATGGAATTCAGCAGAGCTTCGACTCATTCACTAAACTAAGAGAACTTCCCTTGCAAAGTGAACCGCCTATTTGACTTTATTAAATAAATCCAAGTAACTTTAAAACTAATTCACGCTATCCCTCCCTGTAACCCTAACACTAACCCTTCTTTTAGCCCTCATTTAACTCTAACACTCTCACTAACCCTCCCTGTAACCCCAAAACTTACCCTCCCTGTAACCCCAACACTAACCCTCCCTGTAACCACAAAACTTACCCTCCCTGTAACCCCCACACTAACCCTCCCTGTAACCCCCACACTAACCCTCCCTGTAATTCTCACACTAACACTCCTTGTAACTCTAACACTAACCCTCCCTGTATCCCTCACACTAACGCCCCCTGTAACCTTAACAGTAACGCTCCCTCTAACTCTAACCCTTCCTGTAACCTTAACACTAACTCTCCTTGGAACCCCAACACTAACTCTCCCTGTAACCCCAAAACTTACCCTCCCAGTTACCCCAACACTAACCCTCCCTGTAACGTCAAAACTTACCCTCCCTGTAACCCCCACACTAACCCTCCCTGTAACGTCAAAACTTACCCTCACTGTAACCCCCACACTAACCCTCCCTGTATCCCTCACACTAATGCCCCCTGTAACCTTAACAGTAACGC